CCGTCATGGGGTCTGAAGCACCTGTGTGCAGGCTTGACCATAGAGTGGGGGTCCTGGGAGGGTCCTTGGCCTGCTTGGAGGGCAGGAGGGAGTCCATACCTGCGTGTTGCCAGTGGGACAGCTGAGACTCACAAGAGTGGTCACCAGCTAGAAGGTGTCCGTTATCTGCCTACACGTGTGGAAGCTCCTCCCAGGCCTGCCTGAGGCCTCCGGGGAGGCCGCACCTCGTTGTGGGTGTAAGTCCCAGCACAGTCTTGCTGGAGTCTCCTTGGGAATTGAGTGGATCCTGCAAGCATGTGTGTGTCTGGGTGCTGTCTCCTCGTGACCCTGTCCACCAGTTAGCTTCAGAGAAATGCCGTGCCTGCTTCCAGGGAAGGCTTGTCACCTCTGTGCTGGGGCTGGTGGGGTCTTGCCCACATTTCCTGGGGTGGCTGTTGCCTGGTGGGCTGTGTCCCGCAAGCCCACACTTCAGGTCTGCACCTCACTGTGTTCGAGAAGTGCTGGCACGGTACATGTCCGAGGCTGCGCTTTGACTCCGACATTCCTGCAGTCCAGCCACCTGTGAATTCTTTGATATGAGTGTTGGTTAATCATTTCTGACACAGAGCAGGAATCCATTTATTTCCTGAGACTTGCCCCTCCTGGTTTCTGGTTTCGAGACAGCCCCACACCACCTTGCCCTGCACCCAGCATTTGAAATCGAACCTCCGTCAGCCTCCCTGATGAGGAATTGTTTGCAGCAGGTTTAAAAGCTGTAGAAATGTGAGCACTTCGCTTTTGTGCACAGAAGAAAACCTCCACCGGCTGCTTTAGGATATCTGAGTGGGAGTGTGTGGGGAGGGTCTGCACATGGAGAAGTAAACTGAGGGGAAACAAGAAGGGCTAGACTCCAAGTGATGACTGACGGGGAGAATCCAGAGCCCAGATCTGCACAGGTGCGCAGATGTTGCTTCCAGGTCCCCCCTTTAGGTTTTTCTCGAGGGCAGCGGGCGTGAGCATGCTGGGTCCACCCTCGCTGGCCCCATAGCCACCTTTCCCGTGGTGGGTGCTGCCCGGGGCAGCCTGTGCACAGGGAACGGCATAGACATCGTCATCTGTAGGCTGGTTTGCAGCTCCAGTCTGTGTACACTGTGCTGACTTCTCTTGGCCCCTGAGCGTCCAGACCTGGCCGCTTACAGGGGTGGGGTGCAGAGTGAGCAGGGGGGGCAGGTTTCCAGGCCTGACCGGCTGCCCCACCAGACACTGTTGAGCTGGGGTCAGGGGGGGAGATAGAAGGATGCCAGCCTTTGCCCACCTGTGCTCTGTACCCTTCTAACTCAAGAATTAAGAAATTACTTAGCACCATGTGGCCTCCTTTATAACCATGTCTTTCTTTTATGCAAGTGCATAGCAAATGCTAAAAGTTCTCAGGATATTAGGGAGCAGTTCATCCGGTCTTGCTCCCCCAGTGCCAGCAGAGCCACGGTGAGCTTTCTCAGCGCCTGCGCCCATCTCTACGTCTGTGCTCTGAATAAGCAGCCTAAACCGTTTTCTCCTTTTCAAACACGTGGGCCTGCTGCTGCTGCCATCTCCTGATTTCATTCTGCTGGGGTTTCATTGTTCGTGCTGACCGACAGCAGGAGCTGCGCTTTGTCTTCCAAAAACAGGTGACCTGAGCCCAAATTGGTGCACCCGCTGGCATCCTCGTTTCCCTTCTCCATTCTGTTCGAGCTGCCTGTGTGGTCACACCAGAGCTGTCACCCCTGTGGGGAGCCCTCGCTGCTCTTACTGTGTTTTATTGCTTGTGGCCATCTTGACAGGAAGGCTGTGTAATGCATTTTGTGCCCCCTTTGCACATAACCCAAAGGTTATCCAGGTAGAGATTGGCCGGGAGTTGAGAATGGTGGTGCCCATGCAACTTTTTCCCCTTATTGAGGTGAAAGTCATATAACAGAAAATTAACCTTTGAAAGTGAACAATTGAAGTGCCATTTAGTGTGAACAGTATTGTGTGACAACCACCTCTCTCTAGATCTAAAATATTTTATCACCCCAAAGGAAACGCTCTGCCGCATAGCAGTCACTCCCGATTTCCAGGACCCTCACCCCAGCCCTGGACATCACCAGCCTGCTTTCTGCCTACAGATGTGCCAGTTCTGGACATTTCTTGTAAATGGAATCATACGTACGGCCTTTGTGACGGTCTTCCATGGGACATAGCGCTGTGGAGGTCTGTCCCCATTGCAGCGCGTAGCAGCCCGCCTTCCTTTCTACGGCCTAATACTGTTCCGCTGAGCGGAGAGACCGCTCATCTGCCGATGGACTTCGGGTCCCACCTCCTGGCTGTTGTGAATGGGGCTGCTGTGAGAGTCTGGGGGAGAGTTTTGTCTGAGTCCCTGTTTTTGATCCTCCTGGGTCTGTCCCGGCAGTGAGGCCACTGGGTGGTGCAGCAGCTCTGTGTGCGGCTCTGAGGACCCCCGCCGTGCCTCTCGAGTCACCAGCGACCACAGCCCCCTCCCCTGCTTCCTTCGAGTTCTCCTGGTGATGCTGGCCGCGTGCTGGATAGCTGGCTTGTGGATGAAGCGGACTGGCTCGGGGTGGGCACGTTAAGGGGCGGCAGAGAAGGGTGCTAAGGGTGAGCTGCAGGGTGCCCTGCGGGGCGGGGAGGCCCTCGATGTTGGGCACCTTCCCGACAGTGTTGTGCGTCTCCTGCTGGCCCTTCCCATTCTCAGTTTGAGGCTGCCACAAGTGTGTCACTTTTGGCCCAAAGGCCTGTGGGTCTGCCAGTTGGAATCAAGAACTGGTGGTGGGCAATGTTTATCCATGTTTGTTTTCCTAAAAGTCACACTTTGATCGTTCACACCGGGCTCTGGGGTCTGTCTTCACGGCGCACCACCGCGTCGGCCAGGCTGCCCTAAAAGCTTGCATCGGTGTTTGGTCCTCCGCCTCCCCCTGCCTTCCCCCGCTGGCTTTGCCCGACTCCGTGGCTCCGAGCCATTGATCATGAGTAGTACGCAGCAACTGCAGGTGTGTGAACAGTCTCCTTTCACCAAAGCTCCCAAGTCCAAGGGCAGCTTATGCCTTCCTCTGGGAGCCTCACACCCATCCCCAAATGTAAGTTGCAGGTTGTAAAAATCACATGGGCCTTGCACAGCTTGGGGATGATTCCCTGGGAGGGCACCTAACCCTTAAGCATCCCATAATAGGCCCTGGTACATGTTTTCCAAAGCGGGTTGTTGTTACAGAGTGAGAAAACAGGTTATTTTTTGTACCCCTCTAACTGTTGGTTTGACCAAAAGTGGAATCTAAGGATACCGCTTATCAGACCTTGTGATCTCTCAACGGACATAAAAGAAAATGGAAAAGATGATCCATGAATGAGGATACCTGGTGGTGTGGTAAAAGCCCCCCTTGGGTTTGCTAAGAAGGGTTGCTGGAAGACTCATGTATCTTATGTTGACATCAACCTAAAGTACCCCCGTAACACAGACAGGATGGGTGTTCCAATATTAAATCCTTATCTAGCAGACAGACAAACTGAAGTGGGCCTTGTCCAGGGCAGATGCTTGGCCAAGGGGAAGGGAAGGCTCAGCTGGGGTCACCGTGTACAGCAGCGCAGGCTGTGCACTGCACAACTCCAGGAGTGCCGCCAAGGTGACAGGGTGTCCCCAAGTCATACAGCTGGGCTGCCTGGCTGAGCTCCTATTACTAGCAGCCCTGATGTCCTCGATCAAATGGATACTTCTTAAAAACTGAAGGTTACTTTTTGAATTAACTGTATAATGATAATTTCATTTCCCTACTAAAAGACAGTGAGAATGATTTAATGAAATTCTCTGTTTTTACAACTACCTGTATCCAATATTATTATAAAGAGATGTAAAATTGCATCCTGAACTCAAACTGACCCCAGAGCTGTCAAAGTGGAGGCACCGAGCTGTGGTTCCTGGGGGTGCTGGGAAGGACGGCTCTGGGGCTGGTCTCTCTAAGGAGACGAAGGAGCTACTGCTTGTCACCTGCGTGTTGTAAGCCTGGTGGCACTTCACATGCGCCACGTGGGTTCGTCTGCACGCCACCCCAGGGTTGTTCGGGTGGGGAAGGAAGTTCCGTTGCCTGGCCCAGCCTGAGCCGGCCTGCTGGGTGCCTTTCACATTCCTGGAGCTTTGAGAGCTGCACGCTCACTGTATGTGGTGAACCCGAGCAGGCTTGAGCCCCCTGCCGGAAGGCGCTCAGGGCTGTCTGGATGGATGTGCCCGGTGTCCTCGAGTGGCAGGCCAGGAGACTGGTGAGGGATGCCAGGGCCCAGGGCGAGGCTGCTGGGTAGAGAGGGTCACAAAGCACAGCTGCCTTGAGAAGGGACCCTGCTTCTCCCAGAAAAGAGCAGGTGACACCCAAAGTCAGCAATTCCAGAGGAATTCTATAAGGAGCCCTCAGCAGGGAGACTGTGTGAGCCCCTTGGGGTGGCTGAGATCTGGGGGAAGCTTGAGAGGAAGGTGGGCTTGGCCTGGGGGCATTAAAGGGTGGTCAGCTTCGGGGCAGCGAGTTATATGGGAAGGTCATTTCAGGGTGAGTGCCTGGGGTCGCCAGCCTCCTGTCCCCCATAGCTCTGAGCTTATGGAGGAGGTGTAGGGACCATCTGCGGCCCAGGCAGTTGGGTCCTGGTGTCCCTACTCCACATGTCCATACTGTGTGTCCCTTGCTCTGTGTCTGTCTTCTTAGAGGGACTGCAGTCACCTTGGATTAGGTCTAGCCTACTGTACACGACCTCATCTGCACTCGCTACATTTGCAAGACCCCTTATTTCCAAATAAGGCCACATTCTGAGGTTCTGGGCAGAACATGGTACGGCTGATCTGGGGACTAATTCAAAATGAGGCTGGGAGGGGCTTCTTGCCCCATGTCCTCATGTTGCCGTCCCATGTCCTCATCCGTGCCTGGCTGGGAACGTGGCAGGGGCTGGTGAATCTGCCCAGGGCACTTGTGGAGAACAGCTGACGCCTTCTGTGATTTCTCTTCCAACAGCCCAACATCGGCCGCCTGGGCCTGCCCCACGGGCCGTCCGGAGAAAAGGTAGCCGTGGTGACCGTGGATGACTGTGACACAGCTGTGGCCGTGCGCTTTGGAAGCTTTGTTGGGAACTACACCTGCGCTGCCCAGGGCACTCAGAGCGGCTCCAAGAAGTGAGCATGCTGGGAGGGGAGGCCCAGGTGTCCACCCCCATGGCCACAGCTCCACAAGGGGTTGCCCAGGGCAGGACACCAGTGCAGGGCGCCCTGAGCCCAGCGCCCCGGAAGCCCCAAATACAGGCTGGAGTCGGTCCCTCCCCTTAGGTGGAGCACCTTTCCTCTGACACATTCGAACCTTCTAGAATAAGTCCCCTTAGGTGCATCTGCCCAAGTAGTGGTCAGGCCTGTGACGGCTGGCTTGCTGACCCCAGAGACCGTCCCCAACCCTGTCTCCATGGACTGGCTGGCTTTGTTCCAGCAGGCACCGCTCCCTGTAACTCAGTGTTGAGCTGGTGACCCTCTGCCCGCTTGATCGGGGTGCCTGCCACCTCGCCAATCCGAAGGAGTCTCAGGACCCGGCCTGACTCAGGCACAGAAATGCTGCCGTGGACATTTGCAGCCATTCTCCTGTTTCTCTTTCTGTGATGCCGGCCAGTAGAACCGGAGCAAAGGTTCTTGTTGGACTCGTTTCTAATTGTGTTTGGGTGGAATATTTAATAAGCTCTTTAAAGACCACAGTTAGATGAACCCAGTCCGTTCTGAGCATCTGGTATAAAATAACTGTTTCACCTGCTCCCCGCCCAGCTTTGATGCGGTAGGATCGAGCCCATTTTACTGATAGGAAGGCTGCAGTGAGACTCCGTGCCCAAGACCACGCTGCTGCCCAGGTGGACCCAGGGCCCTAGCGGCCTCCCTTCGGAGGCTGGAGGAAGGTGGCACCTCTGTTTGGCATTGACTTGTGTTTACTGGGTGCACATTCACTTTCAGCTGAAACATTCAGTGTGTGAGGATGTGGTGCAAATGTGGGGAAACTGAGGCACAGATTGGCGTGAGAGTCGGAGGCAGCCCCAGGAGGAGGATCTGCTCTGCGTTCTGATGTGTTGGCTGCCTGCCTCCCTGGCTCCCTGTTCGATCATTGACATTTGAGTTGAATGTGTCTGTGGCAGGGGCCCCACGGCAGTGGCAGGGCCCCCGTGGCCCCCTCTCGCTTCCTGGGCCTCACAGAGGTGGGCTCTGCATCCCCAGGTCCCTGGATCTGACCGGCCCCCTGCTCCTGGGGGGCGTCCCCAATCTTCCTGAGGACTTCCCCGTGCACAACCGGCAGTTCGTGGGCTGCATGCGGAGCCTCTCTGTGGACGGCAGGAGCGTGGACATGGCCGGCTTCATCGCCAACAATGGCACCAGGGCAGGTACGGCATGAGCACCAGGCGCCTGGCTGGGTGTGGTGGCCACGCAGGCGTGGGCCCCCTGCACACCCGGGCAGTGAGCTCTGCCTAGAACCCAGCCTGTGCTCGCTCAGCGGTGGCCTCCAGGAGGCAGCCTGGGCGTGTGGCCATGCTGCTGTCAGGTCTGCAGCTCTGCAGGGTCGGTTGGTGGGGAGGCTGTTGGTCTGGCCAGCTGTCAGCCCCGGAGCACTCAGGCCCTTATGCATGTCACCAGAGACTCGGCCACCGGGTGGGATCGCCAGGAGGCCCAGAGTCTCTGCACAGGCAGTGTGTTCAGTGCCATTTCGGCTCTCAGGTTCCCGCGCCGCAGGGGGCCGCCCGCATGCCCTGCAGCTGTCGCTCACAGGGCGCAGTCCTCCCACACATGGGTCCGCGTCCTACTCTGAGGCCATGCCCTGTGCTCTGTTTGCAGGCTGCGCAGCTCAGAGGAACTTCTGTGATGGGGCCTGGTGTCAGAACGGGGGCGCCTGTGTGAGCAGGTGGAACACGTACCTGTGTGAGTGCCCGCTCGGGTTTGGCGGAAAGAACTGTGAGCAAGGTGAGGGCCTGGCATTATCCTTGTCTACTGTGGCCACCCCTGCCATGGGGGGTCCTCCTGGGGCTCCACACGTAGGGCCAGCAGCCTTGGGTGGCATGTGTGTCCACAGGTGGGGTGCAGGAGCAGGCCTGGGGTGTGAGGCTTAGGGGTTGTGTGCAGGAAGCTCAGGCCACAGGGAGAGGACACACAGCACCGGGCGGGGTGGCCCACGCCCAGAGAGTTCCTGTTATGGGGACCACGAGGCCCAACAGCAGCTGCGCCAGAGAAAACAGCTGCCAGGGTTGGGGGTCCTGAGAGCAGGAAACAGACGCCCAGCGCTGACAAGGCCTCTGCTCCCCAAGGCAGCCCTACCAGGCGTGCCTGTGCTTTTGGGGGTGCACGCTGTCTTTAAGCCCTTGTGGTGACTGCATCCCACCTGGAGGACAAGGTGAGGCTGGGTGGGCCACTGCCTGCAATGCACTCAAGGCTGGTGGTGAAATGAGGACGTCAGTCTGACTTGGCATCGTGCCTGGCCTGTGGGTCTGTCTGGCACTACAGTTTTTCCAAGTGTAACAGCCTGGATGAGGCTGTTGGCTCCCCCAAGGCCACCTCTCTGGTCCCCCCCAAACATCTGGGAACACTTGGCTGGCCAGCAGTCTTCCCAACTCCGTGTCTGTCACCAGGAGTAGAGACACTGGTCCAGACACAAGCCGATGGTGGCTTAGCCCTGGTTAAGGGGCGTGCACAGGAGCACATGTATACGGCACTCAGCGTGGGCTCATACTGCCCTACCAGGCCATGGCCTTTCCTATAGGCCCTGCTTCTGCTCCTGGTCTCCCCATCTTGCAGGTATGGGGTGGGACAGGTGAGCTGGGCTCACGGGGCCCCCCAGCACCCCCTCCCACTGAGCCCAGGGATCCTGAGCAACCCACTCTGCCTCCTGTCCAGCTTGAGAGACCCTAGCCAGTCCCTGCCCATGGCTGACAGCCCCCAGGCCTCCGCCTCTCTTCCAGGGCTGGGCTTCTACAGAACCCACCACTCCTGGCCCAGAGAGCTAGCTGCCCTATGAACGGAAGTCTGAGGCAGCCCTTGCATTAAAGTGCAAAAGGCCCGGGACTTCTTCCCTCCCCGCAGCGGGAGCCCGCACCCTGTCCCCTGCCGCTGACAAAGGTACTTGGGGGCCCGTCTGATCTCGGGAGGGCCACATGTCTGTGTCCACAGTCATGCCTCACCCCCAGCGCTTCAGTGGAGAGAGCGTCGTGTCCTGGAGCGACCTGGACATCACCATCTCTGTGCCCTGGTACCTGGGGCTCATGTTCCGGACCAGGAAGGAGGATGGCGTGCTGATGGAGGCCACAGCAGGCATGTCCTCCAGGCTGCATCTCCAGGTGAGCAAGACCCACGTTGTCCCCACCCCGGGCCCTCCCAGTGCAGGTGTGCCCAAGTGACATAACCTCAGCGGTGGGGCCACAGCACCCGGAAGCAGGGCTTCTCGGTGCACCATGGGGGGAACACGGCCCCGCTGCCCCCCACCGCCCCGGCACCTTGCTGGCCTGGTGGGGTCTCAGCACGAAGGGGAAAGGGAACATGAGCATGCTTTGCCAGTGGCAGCGCAACCTTGCCATTCGTGACAGGGATGAGTGCATGGCACCCGGTGTGCGGCCACGACTCCCTGGGGCTGGGGTGGGGGTTGTTTCCAGCACTTTCTTCCTCTATGCCTGGGAGTTAAGTGCAAGGCTGGGGGGCCCAGAGGCCCAGCTCCTTGGCAGCAAAATTCAGCCAAGGTGTGTCAGATGGCAGCGGTGGGGTCCAGGCGCTGGAGAACCCGAGGCGGTGGCAGCGAGTACCTCCAGGTGGGGACGGTGGGCCTCTGGGCGCGTGGGCCGGGGCGGGGAGTGCGCCCGGGGCGGGGAGTGCTGTGCGCGGGCCGGCATTCCAAGAGGCTGCACTCAGGATTCCTGAAAGCCTCCCTAAAAGTCGGATCCCCTTGTTACATGTGTGTTCTCATGGTCTTTACTGTCTTATATATTTAAACATTGGATAAGGAGTACAGCTCTTACAAACTTTGAACAGTTGAATGCACTCTATTCCCTAGTTTTTTTGCATCACAAATAGATGACCCTGGCATCTTCCCAGTGCCAGAGGCACTGCATTTGAGGAAACAATGATAAATACTTATCTGTGATCCGCACCCGGGTCTTTCTTGCCCTTCTGCCCCTTGTTGTCTCTCCTGGAGGGACATGGAGGGGCTCGTCCTGACCATCAGCCTGGGGTCGTGAGACGTTTGCGAGTCCAGGAGACTCCACTTCATGAGGCGGCCACAGGGGCCCCAAGTGTGGGCAGCAGGCTTGCCCACTCGGCCTGCCCTCCCGCCTCCAGGCACTTTCTGTCTGCAGTGACAGTGGGCACAGGATGCCACCTCTGACCCCTGTCTAATCAGGGGACCACACAGGGTCATTCTCCCTCCTAGAAAGTCCACTTCATGACTCAGACCCAGTTCACCTCCCTGACCTGGCAGTGGCCTGCGGGAATGGTGCCCAGGGACAGTGTTCTGTCTTGGTTTGAAGGAATCCCATAACCGGGCTGTTTTTTTCCATTCTTTCCTCCAGACTTTCCTTCAAGTGAGTGTATGCACGTGCACGCGTGTGTGTGTGCACATATGAGTGGGGGTCTGGGCACACCCATCTCAGGGCAGCGCCCACCCCCTGCACGTGGCTCGTTCATTATGTCAAGACTGGCCCTCTGGCCCCCTGTCCACTCAGCATGGGGAACTTACCCCTGGACCTGCCTCCCCTTTTCTCCGGGACCAGGCCACACCCGAACACAATGCTGTCATCTTGGATGGCCCGCTGCAGGCGTCAGGGCTGCCCCAGCTGGGACGTTCCTCCTGGGCCAGCTCCAGTTCCCGTGCTGTAGTCCTCATGTCTTCATGGAACTGAAAATCATTTCTTTTCACTGCTTTGGGCCCTGGGGCTTTTTGTTCTACCCAGTGTGGAGTAGACTTAAGTCCCAGACAAGGCAGGCTGTGCTGCGGTCAGAGATGGTCAGAGGTGGGAAGGGCCCTACGGAGTACCCATTTCTTTTTATTTTTTTACCATGGTGATACGGAGGCGTAGAGCCTCTGAGCTTTGGGTCCCCTGGCTCATTCATCGCCCATGTCCTGCAGTGTCTTTGGGACCCTCACCTGTCGCCCCTTGGGCGCTCCTCTGGAAGCACTTCCATGCGGCAGGGACAGAGGTGCTGCCCAGCGCCCACTTAGCGGGGACAAGACCCTGAGGGCCCCGGTGGGCTGTCAGGCCCCAGGCTCACCAACAGACCAGTTAAGACAAGGCCCCAGGAGGCCACGACTAGCTGTCTGGCAGGGCTGGGGGCTCAGAACCCAACAGGAGGCCCCCTCTCTTCTTCCATCGGCCTGGTTGTCTGTCCGGGCAGCACATGTCTGAGGAACCCCAGGGCATTTTGCAACGCGATGCGGACGTACTGACAGTGCCGTCTGCGCTCCAAGGTCACTGCAGCTGTCACTGATTTTCCCTCGATTTGTAATTTCTGCAGTTTACCAAGCAGGCCCAGAAGCTGCCTCCGGGCTGGAACCGGGAGGCGCAGTTCTGCCCGGGGATGGCATTTTCCCCTGCAGTTGCTTCACTGTTGGAACAGATTAAATTGGGTGTTTTTGATTCAGGTGATGAACTGGAGCTTACAAGTTGCATTTGGCAGGGGTCTCTAGGAAAAGGTGCGCTTTCAGTGGGAACACTCCCCGAAGCCACCGACTCCCATTCCATTTGAGCGATTACGTTATTCCTATGTAGCTAATCCCCAAAATAAGGTTTTTTTGCCAGGGACTGTGGGCAACCCCTCCCTGTCAGGGGCTGGATGGCAAGAGATCTGGCCTTAGGGGAAATCCACCAGACCCCAGGGGCCACCCAGAAGCCGCCCCAGAGCAGTTCCCGAAGGCTGGTCAACTGGGCACTACAGAATGTTCTGGATTATTTCCACCCAATGTATTTGGAACAAGGGCCTCCTCAGGCCCTGTAGGTTCTTGGCTGCAGTGCAGGTGTTCCCTCCGTCTCCATAGCAGACCAGACAAGCCACGTCATCCTACCACCCAGGCCAATTTGGGTAATTGCATGCAGGCGCCCTGAATCTGCCTGCATTGTCAGGTGGGGTAATCTTGCCATTGTTGAACGCTTCTCTTAAATCCGGTGACAGGCCCGAGGCTTGAGGTGGCAGCAGTGACTGCCCATCGCCCTGTGATTCATTCTACCAGTATTGCTTTTGTATGTAGACATCTGTCATTTTTATTGTTATCTGCTGGCTTTGGGGTTTTTTTTAGCAAGGACAGTGGGTGAGAACGGAAAGGAAATTAGCGCATAAGCTTAAATTTCTGGGGTACAAAAGGAACTAGCGTGCAAAAAGGTGAAAAATTACATTTTTTCAATCAACTACTGATCGAGTCCAAAAGCAGTAACTCAATATTAGTTGCATTATCTTTATAATCAGTTAAAAATATTTTCTAGTTTCCATCATGATCTCCATTTTCCAGTAAATCATTTGGTATTGTTTCTAGCATAATTGCAGGTCAGAGAATGTACACTGAGATTTCATAACTTTGAAATGCGTTGAGACCTGCTTCACAATGCAGTAGTGCGTCCTTATGTGCAGTTCCCCGTCCCTGGCAAGAACGTGCTCTACACACATGGAGCGGGTGATGTCTGTTCCTTGTGGCATTCAGATCTTCTATGTTGTTATCGATTTCTTTTGTCTGTCTTCTCAGTTACTGAGAGAGGGGAATTAAAAATCCCCAGCCATAATGATGGATTTAGCTCTCCTTTCATTTACCAAGTTTTGCTTTGTATGTTTTGAGGCGAGGTTATTAGGTGCGTACACGTTTAGGATTGTTTTATCTTCCTGGAAAATTGACTCTCATTACAGAAAGCCTCTTTCTCTCTAGTAATCACTCTTGCCCTGAACTGTATTTCGTCTCATGTGAACACACAGCTCTGCGTCTGACGCTTCTGCTTCCTGGATCCCGCATGGGTCTGTCTTTGCTGTTTCTTGCTTCGCTTGGTATCAAGCACATTGTCTGGTCTCCTTAGGTGCTTTTGTTTGGAGCAAATTTTTGGCTGTTTTTGATTGACTGCTGGACATGATATTGAAAAAGCAGAGAGAATGTGAAGCTGGAATGGTGGCGTCACTGTCCCTCATGTTTGCTTCTGACAGGCAGCCCCCACCCTGGGTAGGCTCTGAATTCCAGTTGTTATCATCCCTACCCTGTGAGCCTAGAAAATGTTGCTCACCTTCAGCCTCAGCTGTGTCCCCCAGAGCAGCTGATGACCCCAGGGGAGAGCGAACACCACGCTCATTTCTGCAGACCTGCTTTCTCGTGGCTGTGGCTCTAACTGCAGTGTCTTGAGTCACTCTGATGCCTGCAGACAGGTGTCATAAAGTGTGACATGTGCATCCAAAATAAGAGCTCAGGAAACACCTGCGTCTGTTGGTCCCCAAAATTAGGGCTGATGGGCTTTATCTTACTTGACCTCTGTCATCATTTTTTTACTGAAGTATAATTGACATACAAAACCCTATTTGATATTTTTATACGTTACAAAATGATCCCCAAGATAAGTCTAGTTACCCTCTGACCTCTGTCGACGTTTGACCCTGAACACCATGGAAAAAGACCTATAATTCTGAAGTGTCACAGGTAACAACAGTAACAAACCGCCTAATTTTGACCCAGTGCCCTTTGGTAAGTCTGTGTGCCTGGCTTTGTTATTTAAGTGACGGCAAAGTATTTCCTCTTCTGCTGTCTTCACATCAGTCGGTGGGCATGGCTCTCCCTGTCCTGCAGATCCTGAACAACCACGTTCAGTTTGAGGTGTCCCATGGCCCCTTGGACGTGGCATCCATGCGGCTGTCCAGGTCTCGTGTGACTGACGGCGAGTGGCACCACCTATTGATAGAGCTGAAGAGCGCCAAGGAGGGCAAAGACATCAAGTACCTGGCGGTCATGACCTTGGACTATGGGATGGACCAGGTGAGTTACACCTGCACCCACTTTGGAACAGACCCCTTCACAGGGCGCATGGGGAACCAGAGTGACCCCTCTGTGTGTCGGGGCCCACCGGAGCCCTTGTGGGTCTGGGGATGTGTGTCCTAGGGCCCTTGAGTCTGGGTCTCACGTTTCACCTTATGCCAAGGTCACCGGCATCTGCACCCCCTCCGCCTTCTCGAGGGTCAGCTTCTAGAGTCGGGGACTGGACTCTGTGCATCTGTGTGTCCCATCATGGTGCTACTGCCGCCTTCTGCAGCCATTTCTTTGAGCAAAGCTGACTTAAGTAACGACAGTGGGCTCAGCACCAGCCTCTGGGGCACAGAGATGAATAACGTGCAGGTCTTTGCCTTCACAGTGGACGGTGCGTAAGGGTGGTGAGCAGGGAGACCAGGTACCAGAGGGGTCCGCGGGACACCAGAGAGGCACGCCCGGCCCCCATGGGCAAGTGGTTCAGGCGGAGCACACTTGCTAAACCACACTGGATTTCCACGGCTTGCCACCAGGAATGAGATGTTTTCTATAGGACGTCCACATGCTGAAGGGGCTGCTTGTGATTCTTGAGCACCCTTGGAGTCCTGGCTCCTCTAATACCTGGTTCTGAGAATGAACAGCTGTTGGGGTCCACGGGCACGCCTTCCAGGACCTAAGGGCCTGGCAAAGACTTCCTTAGATTCCTGCAACAGTGGGCGTATTTTCCATCTGCAGCCATCTTAGTGGCTTACTGAGCTCTTTCTCTCACAGTGGATGGTTAGGAGCACCCGTTATGGAGCTGGGGGGGCTGCCCACGTCCCCCAGCTGGCCACCTTGGCTGGGCTGGGCTGCAGACACACCCTCTGACCTGGCTCCCGTGCCCTGCCTGTCACACAGATGGTTGTGCTCTCCACTGAGAAGGCAGAGGCCCTGCCCCTCTCTGGAGGCCCGGATGTCCTCTGGCTGTGGGGAGTTTGCCAGAGCGACTGTGTCTTAGCCTCCCAACACCGTCTTCCCAGCCAGGGGTCCCCAGGTGGTGGCTTAGTCCCCTTTTCCTTGCACAGGACACAGTGCAGATTGGGAACCAGCTTCCAGGGTTGAAGATGAGAAGCATTGTCGTTGGGGGGGTGTCTGAAGACAAGGTGTCCGTGCACCGTGGTTTCCGGGGCTGTATGCAGGTACGGAGGGGCATGGAAGCCACCCTCAGGGCTGCTCAGGGGCTGCCAGGACTGTGCAGTCGCTGCCGTTGTTCAACATGTTAGTGTTCGGTAAATAACATGTCTGATCGCCAACCCAACTTTAAATCCTGTTTCCAGCTTACACCCACCCTCCCCTGTGGATCCCCATGTTCCCCCTGCATCCCCACCACGGTGCCACCTGCACCTCCACCTCCATGTCGAGTCCAGGACCCGCCCCTCAAAGCCTCCACCGGCCCCCCAGCCCACTCCCACGTCATCCCCTAGACCAGGTGTTCTAGCAGCAGCCAGAGTGAGGTCAGCTCACGTCCCCCGACTTACAGCTTAACTCCTACGTGCCTTCGCCACCCCCACCCACGTGTTCCTGCCCCAAGTGCCCTCTGAACCCCTTGTACCCGTCCGCTGGGCTCTGGCTACTGGGCCTCCTGCCCAGCACCTTGCCATGGGCCTTGCCTGGTGGCCCCTTGGCCGAATGCCTTCCACACGGCCACCCCGCCTCCCACCAGCTGCCTTGCCCACCCTCCTGGTGCTCGCCCATCACCCACATTTACTTTCCCGTGACACTAGCTGTGGGATTGTCAGAATGTGGACCCACTCTGTCCTCGTTTCGGGTGGCTGTCTCCCTGCCTGGACACAAACCCGGGGAGGCAGAAGTGGCCTGGTTCCTACTGCTGTCCCCCCTCCCTGTTCCCACCCAGCGGTCCCAGCTCTGCGTCTAAATGAGGCGTTGCTGTGCAACAAGGGCCTGGAGAGAGCTGGGACTCTCTTGACACATGGTGACCTCCGGGGGCTCTTCCAGCCCCAAGGTCCCCGGGCTGAGTCCGGCTGCCCCTTTTTGACACAGGGAGTGAGAATGGGCGAGACGTCCACCAACATTGCCACGCTAAGCATGAATGACGCCCTCAAGGTCAGGGTGAAGGACGGCTGTGACGTGGAGGACCCGTGCACCTCCAGCCCCTGCCCACCGCACAGCCGCTGCCACGATGCCTGGGACAGCTACTCCTGCGTCTGCGAGAAAGGTGGGAGCCCCTGCACCCACCCCTTCGTTCCTGGTGCCCATCGGTGGAGGGCGACGCCTTTGGTGTTCAGAAGTCCTGGAGGAAAGCTGATGGGGTGTCAGTTTCCCCATCAGCCCTCTCGGGTCTCTGGAACCTTATGCTTTGTTTTATAACTGAGGAGTGGGTCCCCTCGTCTTAGTGTGTCCCTCTGTCTTTCCTTCACTTGGGTCCCAAGGCATTGTGGGCAGGATTCTCAGGGCACATGATAGGGGAAAAAGTGAATGAAAAGTGCACATTTCAAAGGCTCTGTGTTTTGTGATGGCCTCAGAATTTTGAGGTGCTGCAATCCTGCTCAGCTGGTACCTATCTGCCATGTGTCCTGGGTGGCCAGGACCCTCCACACATGGCTCTGCCCTCCCTGGGTGGCCTGGGCGGCCCTCTCTGCATTTCCAAGTGCCACCCACCGGGCGTTTGTGTTCCCTGTGACTCCAAGGTGCCCCAGCCCTCCCTCTGCAGGGTGACAGGGGAAGTCGAGTTTTGGGGAAGCCGTGGACTGTTTGAGACACCTCACCATCGAGGGTCTGGCTCCAGAAGGTGGGCTGCAATGGCAGGGGCGGACCTCGGGGAGGGTGTGACGCTGGCCTGTCCCTGCAGGGTACTTTGGAAGGAAGTGCGTGGACGCGTGTCACCTGAACCCCTGCGAGCATGTCTCGGCCTGCGTGCACAGCCCCGGCTCCCCGCGGGGCTACGCGTGTGAGTGCGGGCCCGGCCGCTACGGGGAGCACTGCCAGCACAAGTAAGGGGGCCCTCCAGGGCCACAGCCCCTTCTCCCGACTCTCTCCTTGTTACTGAGCCTGAAAATACATGTTCGCTTGCATAATAAGGACCTGAAAAGAAACTTGGCGTGAAATACACAAGAATCAAACTGGGCTTTCCAAACTAACCCTATTCGAGCATGTTTTACTCCAGGAACATGCGACATGACTCATTTATCGAGAGCTTGCTGTGCACATGGTGGGCAGGCAGCGAGATGCAGGGGGGTGGGCGTGCCTTCACCGAGCGCCCCCTCGAGTCCGGGTTGGAGGTGGCCCGACATGCACGTGACGCCTGGGTCCCACGGAGCCAGCGCTCCCCGGACTCCCGAGCCCAGGTGTACAGCCATTGCAGATGAGTCACTTTGTCCAGGGGGACATCTTGCTTCCCCACGAACCAAGACTCCGGCCCCTTCACAGGTGACCCGGTGGCATCTGGTGACTCACCCAGTGGCAGCCGTCCTGGCGCAGGAACTGCTCCACCTGGCAGGGCACCTCACTCTGCTTTCCCGTTGGGGACCAGAGCAAGCGAGACACAGCCTGTGGCCCCAGCCTGTGACTTTATGGGAGACGGGGGCTGCCCAGCATGCTGGCGGGAGCGGGATGGGAGCCAGGGGGCGTGAAGGGGGAGGGCATTCTGGGGGGGACCATGGGGCAGAGTGAGAGACCAGTGGTGGGATGAGGCCGGCCTGCAGAGTTCAGGGGGTTGGTCCCAGGGCTGTGCTGTCCCAGGAGCGTCAAAGGCGATGAGGCCAGCCCCACCCTGCCAGGGCACGGCCGCTGCCTGTCACCCTACCTCGGATCCCAGCCTCAGACCCCCTGCCTGTGGGGTTTTCCCCACCACAGCGCCCTGCACTGGGGAGGCAGGGGCCAGCCTTGCGAGCTGGGGACAGAGCATGGCTTTACGGAGGCCACAGGGGCCCAGGAGAAAAGTGGCAGGATCGAGACTAGATCTCCAAGGTCCCGGCTGGCGCACGGAGTGCAGTTGGAGCAGGAGGAAGCCAGAGGCAGGGGACCACCTAAGAGGCCGATGGCATCTCCAGGGCCTGGTATTGTGGGCACAGCAAGGTGAAGAGGGGCACTCCAAGGCTCTGGGCGCCCACACTGTCAATACATACCACAAACACTGCCACGGGGGCCCTGGGCCCAGCTGTTCGGCCCTGATTGTGTCCATGCCCTTGTTGTGTGCACAGTCAGTACTTAATAACTGCTGCCAGGTGAGTGCATATGCGAGGTTGCTTCCCAGGCAGGTGGGTAGATGGAATGCCATTAGCCAGGCTGGTAAACACAGGGTGGTGCCTCATTTTGAGGATCCTGGGAAACTTGTGGTGGGGGTCACCCCACAGGCAGGGGGTCTGAGGTTAGGATCAGAGATAGAGTGACAGGCAGTGGCCAGAGCCCTGGCGGGGTGGGGCTGGCCTTGTCACCTTTGATGCGCATCTCAGGGCCTGTGGGGCTCTGCTGGGGCTGTTCTCAAGGGCAGGACTGGGTGGTCTCACATCCTATGCCCACCGGGTTGAGCCCATGGCTGCAGGGAGCTGACTGAGGCACATGTCGTGTCCTCAGAAAGGTTGTTCCTGGCACTCTTGGGGACATGGCCAGTGTTTGGCCCGGGGGCCTGGGGAACCGTGGATGCCCCAGAGTCCCCTGCTCAGGCGCTGCGCCCTGAGCACCTCCTGCCACAGACCCCTGCGTCCTGCCTGGCTCAGTCTGGGTCGTGCGGGGTCAGTTGTCACTGAGCCCCACAAGCCAGGGGTCGCCGTGTGGGTGCTGGGGCCCAGCGTGCACGGCGTATTGAATGTGGTGCCGTCATGCGAGGAGGAAGCCCAGGTTGGGGTACTCGCCCGTGTCTTCCAGGTAGAACAAAAACACGAGCAGATCATTTTAGAGATAACAGTTTTGTACATAGAAAGCCCTCCAGACGTGGGCCTCTGGACACTGAGATCATGACAGGAAATCTGAGGGGCCGTGGGAGAGCGAGGGGGACCAGCAGAGGGTGAACCAAGGGCACTGCAGGGAGGCAGGTGCCCGGAACCAGGCCACTAAGGCTGCAGGCCTCCCACAGGCTTCCTTTCACTCCGAGAATGGCTGTGAACACCTTCCGTCTCCATCTCATTTTCCCAACAGGATGGACCTTCCGTGCCCCAAAGGCTGGTGGGGACATCCCGTGTGTGGACCGTGCCACTGTGCAGTCAGCAGAGGCTTCGATCCCGACTGTAACAAGACCAGCGGCCAGTGCCAGTGCAAGGTGGGCCCGCGCGGGCACCTGGCACGGGACACCCCTACCCCACACAGTGCCGAGCCCGGGGTGGCCAGTGCACATGCCTGCAGAGGTACATGTGCGTGTGTGCACACAGACACACACACACACACACATGCCTGCACACTGTCACATGCACACACCTACACACACGTCTGCCTGCATGCATTCCCACACACACACACACCCACATACCTATACCTGTGTTACCCCGGCACATTTCCTTCACATACCAACACAACTGTACACACACACCTACAAATGTCTACCTGGACACATTCACATGCACACACACGTATACAAACATGGCTTTAGATTTTTCACTGGCCACGGACGTGCTGAGTACGTCAGGGCTGTTTTTTATGTGTGGAGTTTTTTGGGCAGTGGGAGGTGGAGTCGTCACCCCTACTCCCAGGTGTTAACAGGAGACCAGTCCCTGTGAGGTGGGCTCATCTTAGGCACTAGCCACAATTCTCCTCAACAGCCACTCCTTTCGTTTATCGCCGGCACACGACAGCCGAAATTCTAAAACAGGACAGCTCCCGGCAGCCCCACCCGGGAGTCCATCGGCGTGCACAGCAGTCGGCTCCTCCGGGCCCGTGTACATGCTGCAGCCTCCCCTCTAGGCAATGCAGCCTGCCCCTCGGCCTCCAGGAAGGCTCCAGGCACCCTGACAATCCTGCTGACAGCTGCCTGGCCGGGACCTGTGCTCACAGGAAGGCCTTGCCCACTCAGGGAGGGACATTACATCACGGCCCCTGGTGCGCCCCAGTGGTCTGACATCAGTCATGGCCCCTAGGTTCCCTGGTGCTTCCAAAAACAGAACATTGTCTCCTGAAATGCTTGCATGAAAAACCGCAATGGCTGTAGAGGGTCAGGACTGGGCCGGCCGTGTGGAACTGTGGGGCATCAGTGGGGGCAGGACAGCAGGAAAGCAGGAGGGTATTTGGAGAAAAAATTCCTATAAAATTGTAGAGAATTTGGAGGTGACAGGGACACCCATCTCCCCTCTAAGGGTGATGCTGACATCGCAGTGCCTTGGTCCAGGCACTAAAATACAGATGGAACCCCCTTGGGGGACTGTGTCCTCCCTGACTCGGAAGCCTGATGGTGGCCATGAGCTCCCAGGTCACAGCCCACCCAGTTTTCAGTGGGGGATTCAAGTGACCTCACAGAGGCGGTGTGGCCAGTGAACAGCCGAACTGGGCATAAACCCAGGACCTTAAAGTCTGAAGCCCGTGCTCTTGACTGTCACCTGCCAGCCCAGGGTATGCATCCAGGTGGCTTCTGATTTCTCATGTGTCAAAAAAAATGCTTCAAGGGGATCATACATAAACCTGCATCTGAGTCTCTGATCATTTTAGGACAAGTATGAGGTGGTGCACAGTATGTTTGCCCAGAGATGAGAGGGGGGGTGCTCTCCTGCCCTGTCTAGCATGGAGGGCCCCCAGGAAGCCACCTGCTAGGGGAGCACGGTGGGGGCAGCGGTAGGAGGCCCAGCAGCCAGGCTGGGACCTCGATGTCTCCAGGAGCAGGGCCTCTGCAGTGTCTGGAGTCCCATGCGCTGCTTGGGGTTTTTGCAGGAGAATCACTACAGACCCCCAGACCAGGATGCCTGCCTGCCATGTGACTGTTTCCCGCATGGCTCCCACAGTCGCACCTGCGATGCGGACACAGGGCAGTGTGCGTGCAAGCCTGGCGTCATCGGCCGCCAGTGCAACCGCTGTGACAACCCTTTTGCTGAGGTCACCATGCTTGGCTGTGAAGGTCTGTGTTGTCCCTTGGCCCCGTTAGGCCACGTTGCGATGACGGTCTGCTGGGCTCATGTGCATGTGCACGTCTGTGTGTGCAGTGCACACTCCTCGGCTTTGGGGAATTCTTGGCAGCCTCGTGGTCTGACTGTACACTTGGCCTTCTCTAACCTGGCTTTCCAGGAGGGGCTGGGCCAGAGCCTGGGTCCCCCAGCCCCTGTTCTAACCCTGATGGGAAGACAGGAGGGGTCCAGTTCCTGGCAGTGGCAGGCCTGCTTCAGGGGGGAGCGTGCGGAGAGCCGCGTACATTCTGGAGGTCGGCCATGCCGGGCTGAGCTGCTTTCTTTCTCCATCCCCCAGTCATCTACAGCGGATGTCCCAGAGCATTTGAGGCCGACATCTGGTGGCCGCAGACCAAGTTTGGGCAGCCAGCCGCAGTGCCCTGCCCCAAGGGATCCGTGGGTAAGTACCGTGGCCCGTGGCATCTCTTCTGGGCAGGAAATCGCGCTGAGGCCTGTGGCTTATGGGATAGCTGGCCAAGGCGTCAGAACTCATTCAGTTCCTTACTGAAAAGTCTCCTTTAGCCATAGTGTCAGGGAAAATTAGAGAACTTTCCTTACTAGTAATGACAGACGTGGAGAGGGCATAATGAGAACGTGAGGAGGACGGGCTGGCACTCAGAGGAGCTGCCTCGGCAGCACAGCAGCGGGCTGTCTGTGAACGGGATAGTAGCCACGTCGGCCCCGCGAGGGTCGGGAGCTCAGGGAGATGACGCGTGGAGGGCGCGCAGGCCCGGGCCGGTCCTTGGCCAGCGTGCACGCACACAGAAAGCGTTGGACCTCGGTGGGCAATCGGGCTGGCTTCTCCTTTCCACAGACTCGCTCAGATGTCCGCGCGGTTGTCTTGGTTGCAGGCGTCTCAGGCAACTGTAAGGCCTGGCAGCAACCACCAGGCGCTTCTAGACGCAGCCCCAGGCCTGAGAGAGCAGGGCTAGCGTGGGCTTCGTGGCCGTGGCACTTGCTGAGGGGTGCACATCACCGCTGGGGTCACGCCTCGCCTGCATATTCAAGCACGCGTTAATTCATGCAGATTTTGGGTTTCAGTGCCTGTTCTCTGCCCCTAGGAAACGCGGTGCGGCACTGCAGCGGGGAGAAGGGCTGGCTGCCCCCAGAGCTCTTCAACTGCACCACCGCCTCCTTCGTGGAGCTCAGAGCCCTGGTGAGCCGGCGCCCTGGGGTTGGGTGTGGGGCAGCAGGGCCACACCCCCACCCCCGCCCCGGCGCCTGCGGCAGAGTGTGGCCCTCCTGCCCAGGAAGCTCCGGGCCTGCCTCTGCAGGCAGGGTCCCCTCTCCGCGCCTGTCCTCCGGGCATCGTGCCCCCACCTCTTCCACTGGGTGTCTTTTTCCAAGTGCTCTTGCGCCGGACAGACCCTCCATTTTCACGTCAGTTTTATCAGCCGAAGTGCTTTTTGGGGTTTTTCAAGTTTATTTTCTGACAAGTTTCTGCAGGCAGATAGTGGGTTTTGGACTAGCAGGAGGCACGTACAGCGAGCACAGTAGGTTTGCAGACACCACCTTTCTCCCCTGATCCAGAATGAGAAGCTGAGCCGGAACGAGACGCGGATGGACAGCAACAGGTCCCTGAGGCTGGCCAAGGCGCTGCGGAATGCCACGCGGCATACGGGCTCACTCTTCGGCAACGACGTGAGGACGGCCTACCAGCTGCTGGCCCGCGTCCTGCTGCACGAGAGCCGCCAGCAGGGCTTTGAGCTGGCGGCCACGCGGGACGCCAACTTCCACGAGGTGGGTGGGTGGTGGGCAGGAGCCCCTTCAGGGGAGCCCACCCGTGTGGGACACACTGAGCCCAGGCGTCCTGCAGGGGTCAGAGGGCGTCCAGCGTCCATGCTCAGCTGTGAAAGGCTGTTGTACCCAATGTCCTCAAGGCAAAAGCCCACTTTTCAAATGTGAGCCGAGCCCAGGCCGGCACAGTGACCTGCAGAGGCCTGTCAGGGGCGTTCTGGCAATGCTTACATGGGTAGCCCACTTACCCCACATGCCTCCTGTGATGTAGTCATTGCCCCATTTTACAGGTAGGGAGACTGAGGTGCAGCAAAGGCACACAGCCCTAAGGGGTGGGGCTCCAGAGTGTCTGCTCCCACCCTTCACTGGGGTCCTGCTTGCAGATGGCCATGCAGACCATTGTGTTTTGCGTTTAAGTAACTGGCCCTTCTAAGAAATGCCTGTTGGCGATGACTAGTGAAGAGACCCATCCATCGTGACGTTTGGGAACTGCTCTGGGGAGTGGGGCAGGGTCACCTCATAATCCCCTGCCACTCACTCTAGGCCTCCCCATCCACACAGAGCACTTGGGGGGGCACCTTCCCACCCATACAGAGCCCCCAGGGCCTCCCCATCCATGCAGACCCCCAGGGCCTTCCTATCTACACAGAGCACTTGGGGGGGCACCTCTCCACCCACACAGCCCCCAGGGCCTCCCCATCCACACAGAGCACT